AAAAAAAAAAAAGAACTGGAAGAGACAGTGGGCTGGCTCCGGGTGGGCATGGGCTCTGCAGTCGCCACCACCCATCACACATGTGGCAGTGGCCCCCGACAGGGAGAGTGTGGCTGCCTGGCTCCCCTGGGCATCGGACTCTGACACCCACGCTGTTTTTCTTTCCTGCTTCTCAGACTCATCCTTCTACGTCGCTCGCCAAGGCTGCTCCTTCTCCAATTGGATAGCCGGGTGTTGCTTCTGTTCTCAGCGCTCTCCGCAGTTTCCCTTTGAGATCCCATCCAACCACTGCTTCTGTAAGCTGCCCGCAACCCAGCACCACGAAATCACTCAACAGCGGGGTTGCAAAGGAATTTAGAGATCAGATGGTTCAGTCTTCTCAATCCACAGAACACAGTCCGATCACAGAACTCTAGAGCCCAAAGGAGTTTTAAGGTTAACTAGCCTCATTTACAAACAAGGAAACATAGGTGTCAGAGAGATTAAACAATGCTCCTTCTCCTTCACCACACAATCCTGTGCAATTCAACACAAATCTCCTGAGTTCTGACTTCATGCAAGGCACTGCGGGGGACAGGGACTTGGGTCAGCCCCAACTTCCCGCACATGCACACAGACTAAAACATGGGAGTCCCAGCACCACGAACGTATTATGGGACAACGGAAGAAAACAAAGTCCCAGTGATGGAAATCTGTATTTATCTGTATGAGTCGATTTAACTCGATCCTGAGAAGGGGCTAGGGCACATGCTCTAGTTCTTGTTGTGTGCAGACGTTCTTTAACATAGGAGAAAAAACGCTCAGACAGCTGAAGTGACTTGTCCAAGGTGACAGGCCTAGAAACCGGGTCTCCTAACTCACATTCCGGTGCTCTTTCCCTTCAGCCCTGACTTGTCCGGAGCACTCTCCTTTGGCGTTTCTGAATCACTGTCCGTCTATGACCTTGCTTTACCCACTCAGCAGCTCCACCATTCTTCCGGCTGGGATGCGTCAGTGTCTGGCAGCCACGTGCGACAACATGCAACAGGACACACCCCTACAACACCCCTCACACCTATTCTGCAACAGCTTTCCCTTCAAACCGTCTTTTACCCAGGCCTTTCTCTGGGGACTGCTTCCACCACTGCGGGGGAGGACCTTATTATCTTAATATGGTCTTGTCTTCCGTCACTGACAAACTCACAGAGCCTTAGAGGGACTTGTATCCAAACGTCGCCCAGAGAGAACACAGCTTCTCTGGGACTCCTGACCCTGACAGTGGCCAGCCAGCTGCCGTGCGGGCACCCACCTGCCTTCAGGGTAGCTCCCTTCACTACGGGTCACCCACGTGATGAGAAAGTCCAGTCACTCACCCACTCAGCAAGTGCTTACTGACCATGCTCTCTGTCCCAGGCACAGCGCTTGCCACACTGGAGATTAAACCGTGCGGGGCTCCCCACTGGTCTTCTGCACACTCACCTTTCCTGTCTTTGTCCTGCTGGCCTCAGGTTAACTTTCAATTCTGTTTCTTCATCTTGCACATGGAGAGAATTATCTGTTGTGAGAATCAACTGATACAACGTGTAGAAGTGCTCTGGAAACCAAGCGTAATATAGGTAAGGCTTTCTCCTTTTTCTCCAACTGTGTATTTTTTTGGAGGGGAGGTGATGCCACTCTCTCTTTTTTTTTTTTTTTAAGATTTATTTATTTGTGAGAGAGAATCCCAAGCAGACTCCACGCTGCCCACCGGCCGGATGAGGGGCTCGATCTCACCACCCTGACATCATGACCTGAGTGGGTATCAAGAGTCAGAGGCTTAACCACTGAGCCACCCAGGCGCCCGCCAAGCCCATTTTTAAATCATACTCCACACATGCAAGAGTAAGCATCCCATGTATTACGCTGAAACCACAGTGAAACACCCATGAATCTACCATTTCACCCAGTTAGGAGAGCGCAGCCAGCGGCAGCCACCCGTCCTGCCGCGTCCCACCCCCAACCTCTCCAACTACTCAAGAACGCCCTGTTTACCCTTCCTCCGACTTTTTACAGCGTTTTACCACATATACCTAAAGCTGTGTTGCTTATTTTTGAAGGTTACACAAATGGTTGCGAACGTCTGCAGCGCTCCGGGATTTCTCCGTTGGTGCATCCCGGGACGCCCTGGGGTCCCCGCCAGCGAGCGGACTGGCCCGTGACCGCGGCCTCTGCGCGCAGAGCTGGCCGGGGCTCCTCCCCACGGAGTCCGCTCCGGGCACCGCCGCCCGGCCGCGCGGCGCACGGAGGTTCCACC